GAGATGAAATTTGTTAGAGACGAGATGAAAGCAGGTCAAGAGGAAATGAAAAGAGAAATTACCTGCGTAATAGAAAAACAATTCGAGGCTATAGAAGGTAGAATAGACTCGGTCGAAAGTAAGGTTGGAGAAATTGAAAAAAGAGTCTCCTCCGTCAAAGAACAAATAGAAGGGAGAGTTTCTGCTGTGGAGGAACGAATTGAAGGAAGAGTTTGTGCCGTCAAACACTAAATCGAACAACAAATTGATGATAGAGTTTCTGCAGTTGCCAAAGAAAGGGAAACTTTAAAGAAATTCATAGCGACGGCAGGGAGCAAGAGTGATGATTTTAAATTCTTACCGATGCCTGCTCGTCCATCTCTGAAGCTATCCACATATGATGGGAAGACATCCTGGCAAGTGTATAAGACCCAGTTTTCTATCGTTGCGGATGCGAAAGGATGGGATTCCCAAGCTAAGGCCTGTCATCTCGCCGCTTCTGTGAGAGCAGACGCAGCGGATTCCCGAAAATCAAAGGCTAGATTTCGAAGCTCTATCCGGCACTTTGGAGCTGCGCTTCGGCGAGAAATGTTTAAATAACTACAGCAGGCTCCAATTAAAATCCCGTCAACAGAAGCTCACCGAAACACTTCAGGAGCTCGCCACGGATGTTGAAAGGCTGTCACATCATGCCTTTTCGGAGTGCCCGACAGAAACAAGGAAAATCCTGTCCCTGCAGTACTTTATCGATGGCATCCGGGATCCCGAAATACAGAAGGCTCTACGAATGGCGAATGTTAAAGATTTGAAGATTAGTGTACGTTAAAGATTAGTGTACGCCATGAAATTCGAGGCAGCCCAGCAAGCAACTCGTAGAGATCGCTACCCAGTCAGAGCTGTCGAGTCCACAAGCCAAGGAATCAACTGATGGCTCGTTTAGATGAATTAGCCAGAGAAGTCAACGCTTTAATAGGGAGTAGGAGTGAGAACAAAGTGGCTCTAAGATGTTGGAAATGTGGTACCGAAGAGCACATACGACGGCATTGCAGAACACCCCTGGGCAAGGATAATAAAGCGGATGATTTGACAAGACCATTGAATGCTTTGACATGGAATATTGGTGAGAAGAAACCAAACCAACAAAGTGCTGGAACTGCGGTGTTGAAGGCCACATACGAAGGAACTGTAGAACACCCCAGAGGATGGAAAATAAGAGAGGCGGGTTAAACAGACAATTAAATGCCGTGAGACGAAAAAGGATTGACAAGAAACTAAAGTGCTGGAACTGTGGAGCTGAAGGCCACGTACGAAAGAATTGCAGAACAACCCAGAGTACGGAAAATAAGATCATTTCCCAGCAACGACGCAGGAAACAAATTAATGGCCATATCAAGGAACGGAGGTTGCCAGCTAATGAAAAACCTTGTTTTAAAGCACTCAAGATTTCTAGAGTGAGTGGCAACAGTAACGGACTGTCCATCAATGGAAATATCGATGGAATTCCTTGCAATATGATCATTGACACGGGAGCTAATGTTGCCATCATTAGGAAAGATGTAGCTGAACAGTTTAAAGATAAACTTATTTGGACGCTATCCTGTGTTACTCTTCAGACTGCGTCTGGTGACGAGATCGAGATAGCTGGGAAGTTAAACATGAACATCACGTTTGGAAGTGCCGCCTACCTAAGTGGCGGATATTACAGATCCATGCATTCTCGGATTGGACTTTTTAAGGAACTACAATTTTTCCTTAGACTTTAAAAACAACAAATTGCTTTCAGCATCTGAAGGCATGACTATGCATCCTAAGAAGGGATCCTTACCTGTAAACGCCTACGCCTTGTCTGAAAGACCCAGCTCAGAAAGCTGCCGAAATCATACTAGGGTCGGAGTGAAACACCAGACTACCGGCTATCCTTCATTCGAGATGCTCTTCGGTCCAGACCTTCGTCAGCCTTGTGACCGCATGTTTGGTCTCCCTACGGATGCGCCTTCATCGCCTGAGGAATACATCCAAGATGACCAGGCCCGGTTTGAGGTGATGCACCATTTTGCACGAAAGCGAGTCAACTTGGCGACGGAGAAGATGAAGACCAGATACGACACGAGAGCTACTGGACATAAATTCAAAGAAGGAGACAAGGTGTGGTTGTGGAAACCGATTCAACTAAAAGGACTCAGTCCTAAATTACAATCACCTTCGGATGGTCCATATACAGTGTTTAACAGACTGAATGACGTCGTGGTTCGGATTCGTAAGTCTTCGAACTCTAAACCTAAAGTCGTTCATTACGACAGGTTAGCTCATTACTATGGCCATAGTACGTAATGTAAATAATTGTAAATAATGGTCCTTTTTGTTTTTAAATGTGTATTTGATTTGATTTGTATTTAGTATTTGATTTGCATTTATTTAGTATTTGATTGTATTTGTATTTGTTTGTATTTAGTATTTGATAGCATTTGATTTGTTTAAGTTAGTTATTGCATTTATTGTTCATGTTGTTTATTATTGTAATGTAATGCTTATTAATGCATTTATGCCACAGTTGTAAATTTAGCTTCCTGTCCAGGGACTGTACTGCCCGGGACGTGCAGTCCTTGGGAAGGGGGCAGTGTTACGAATTTGGTATTTAAAAAGCTACTGTTAGTTCAATTATAAATTAAATGGTTTTATTTCCCGCGCAGTGCAGCGCGTGACGAATATTAAAAGAAAGCTAAGCTGGAAAAATTGAAAATACAAGAGCGCGTGCATTAACATTAAATAAATAAATATCTCTTTTTGATTTCGAGAAAGTACTGGAAAATTCTAGCGCGCGATTTTAAAAATCTTATAAAAGGAGGAAAACATCTCAGTTCGTAGTAGTTGCTTAGTTTGTTGTTGTTTAGAAAACTGCTCTTGTTGATTGTAGCGAATTCGCGGATTAGCTTTCTTTAGCTGTTTTGAATTACGTTCTATTGGACATTTGAGTAGTTAAAAGATAACTACTGTGAGATATTGTAATACTGCATGATAATTTGAGAAAATGTAAGCATTTTTGTTGTGATAATAATAAATTTTTGTTCATTTTTCATCGGACTTGTGCATTCATTTCATAACGAACCCGTACGCACGCAACAATATAAATGCGTGCAAAAGCTGGGAAATCATTGCATAAACAATATATTGTAAATGACTAACATATATCTGTCAATAGGAATGCATTCCACTAGGAAAGATGCTTTTTCACACACATAAAATTTTAAAAGTCTGAGAATTTTAAATTTTTATATTACGCTCCGAAGGGGCGTTTTGTAACGTTTTGAGTTACCTTTATTTATTAAATATCATGTTCTTCGAACTTAAACCATACAATTCAATTTAACAGCAATATCACAAATTAATTTAGAAACAGCATATCTATAGAATTTCCAATACATAGTCTCGCACGCTTTTAATAATAATAATGTATAATAATAATTTTTTTTTTCGTACAGTGTTGCCAATGCTCGCTTTGAAATCGCTGAGTTTGTTAATAAAAAATTCGTTAAAGTTTTACGAAATATAAAACAGAGAATAAAACAAATTCCATATTCTAAATGTGGGCTTCTAGATGCCTATATTTGAGTGGAGAACTATGTTATTCAAAATTTGATGTGTTTAGGTACCGCTGTTTTTTCAAATGCGAGAAGCATGCATACATTCATGCAGATTCTTTATTATTTAATTCTTTAAATATAATGCAGGGTTCTAATACTTGGCGGCAACAAAGTGAAATGCCATTTTATAGTGGACGACGGAAAATGTCAAAACGAAATTAATAGCCCTTTCTGGGCATATTCCTCCTTTGGACTAAAAATCTGAAAGCTCTCATATTTTATGTTACGCCGAAAGGATTGTTTTTTCATTTACATACACATACATATTTCAGAGCATTTATTCTAATATCCCTTTGGGCAAAAAACATTTAAAAACAGCATATCTTTAGAATTTCTGATACACAATCTCGCGCGCTAGAGATAAAATATTTTCTTCCGTACAGTGTTTGCCATTGCTCGCTTTGAAATCGTTGAGTTTGTTAATCAAAAATTCGTTAAAGTTTTACAATATAGGAAATACCCAATAAAATATTTAAAAACAATGTATCTTTAGAATTTCCGATATACGGTTTCACACTTTGGGGATAATTTTTTTTTTTTTTTTACAATGTTGCCATTGCTCACTTTGAAATTACTAAGTCATTTTAATTAAAAAAATACGTTAAAGTTTTACAAAATATAAAATATACAATAAAACAAATTTCAGATTCCAAATTTGGGCTTCCGTGTGTCCATATTGGGATGGAGGACTATGTTATTCAAAATTTGATGGCTGCAGGTACCGTCGTTTTTTTAGTATGTGGAAAATATGCATACATTCATGCAGATTCTTCATTATTTAATGTCTTTAAATATAATACAGGGCGATAATATTTCGTGGCAACAATTTAAAACATGATACGCTGTTTATAGTGAACCGACGCAAAATGCCGTTTCGAGAGTAATAACCCTTCTGGGATAACGCTTATTTGGAATAAAAGTGTTGTATATTATCCTTTATTCTTGGCTGAATTTTGCCTCACCTGGAAATGGACTTTTTGAGATTTTAAATATTCTCAGATTTGCGGTGCTTCTATTTTCCGTGCAGAAGAAAACTATTTTCATAATACAGTAGAAGTCCGATAATCCGGCACGTTCGGGACCGGCTCGGTGCCGGACTACCGAAAATTCCGGTCTATCGGGCGGTAATTATAAGAACAATTAGGTTAATAATTAAACTAAAAATACAGTATGCAAATACATACAACAAAGTTTATTTTACATTTCATATAATGTATGTACACGTACTGTAAAACATATTTCACTTATATTTAAAAAGTCACGAATGTCTTTTTGTTTCTTGACTTTTGGCGTTTAGTATAAAATTATTTCTAATGATATGGAAATCAATAATTTCTGAAGCACTGTAGCTAGTACTAGCCTCGGCAAAAGAGATATAACTTATTTAGTGATTCTGCAGCTTCTGCCAGCTGATTTTTTCCTTTTCTTCCGTTTCGGCATCTGAGTCATTTTTTCTTCAAGATTTTGAGTAGGCTGAGGGTTTACTACAATGTTGATAATGTCCTCATCGGTTAGTTCTTGTTCAACAGGCTCATTCTCGTCGATTAAAAGCCACTCCTCTACCTCATCTTCAGGCAGGTTTTTCAAGGGATTGTCAGTACTTCTAACGACATCCAAAACTTTGGTCAGAGCGTCTTGATGGTTTTCTTCCTCATCAGTCTGTAGTCAGATGCAGGGTTTGCAGTTGGCCAAAGTTTCTCCAGCATTTTTGGAGTGTTGTATTTTGTACCTGGTTCCAAGACTGTGCAATAGCATAGATGGCATCTTTTACTGTAAACTTTTTTTGAAAATCAGTCACGTCACAGTAGGCTTTAACTACTTTTAAATTCAAGGCATTTAACAGGCCTTGAATGAAAGACCTTCTATAAAAGCATTTAAAATTTTGAATAACCCCTTGGTCCATGGGTTGAATCAAAGATGTTACGTTAGGTGGGAGCAGAGTAGCAACAATATGGTGTCCGCCGATAACATCGCGGCAAAAATCATCGCTGGCAAAACGTCGCGGAGAAAACAACGCAAGACGAAAACGTCGTGCTACAAAACATCGTGGGAGAAAACATCGCAAAGAGAAAACATCGGAGTTCTAAAACATCGTGATGCAAAATATCTTCGTCGAAAATAAAGCGGTTCAAAAACTTCGCAGTTAAAAAACATCGTCGTCGAAAATATCGTGGTAAAAAATAAAGTATTGACAAATCATCGCAGGACGATAACATCGCAGACCTGCTTTTTTCAGGCTTTAATAATTGTAAATATATTCCCCTAATGATTTGTGAGCACGAGATGGAAAGAAAGATAATTTTTTACTTTCATATTTTTTATAACTAATAAATTTTTGCTGAAAAAATTAAGAAGGAAACTTAATACTTAAGAATAAACTGAAGCAGAACAAGAAATAATTTCATTATAAGAGTATAAGATTTGACAAAAGTGAAGAAAATAATCTCATAGTTAGCAATTTTTTCTAGATAAGGTCATGCAGTTACGTAGCTTTCTTTTTCTAAACATTTTTAGATTATACTTTTAATGAAAAATTACCAGTAAAAACTTTATAAAAAATTATTTATTAATGATCTTTGTTAGTTAACTATGTCAGTTTAAAATTCTATTAAGTGCTATAAGTTGCCTTAATTTTCTATGCTTAAATTTCCTTTTTACTTTTTCAGCAAAAATTTATTAGTTAATAAAAAATATGAAAGTAAAGATTATCCTTCTTTCGATCTTGAGCTCAATCATTATGGAAATATCCATTTACAATTATTAAAGCCTGAAAAAAGTATGTCTGCGATGTTATCGTCATGCGATGATTTGTAGATACTTTATTTTTTACTGCGATATTTTCGACGACGATGTTTTTAAACTGCGAAATTTTTTAACCGCTTTATTTTGGATGACGATATTTTGTATCACGATGTTTTAAAATTGCGATGTTTTCTCTTTGCGATGTTTTCTCCCACGATGTTTTGTATCACGACGTTTTCGCCTTGCGTTGTTTTCTCCGCGACGTCTTCGTCCACGATGTTTTCGGCTGTAACCCAACAATATTTCCAGAAACTAACTCATCTACTGGCGGATGGGCTTTGCAATTGTCCAAAAGAAGGATGGCTTTAGTATCTTCTGGTAGACCAAGGCGTTTGAAGGATTCCTTGACCTCAGGCACAAAGTGGTGAAAAAACCAGTCTTTACAGAGGGCTGCAGTTATCCACGCATTTGATTGAGCATCGTATTGGACAGGCAAGTGTGTAACATTCTTAAAAGCCCTGGGTTTTGCAGATTTACCTATCACAAAAGGGGTCACTCGGTGGTTTCCAGACGCATTAGCACATAGCAAAACGGTTAATCTGTCTTTGTTTTTTTTAAAACCCTTGGCTGCTTTTTCTCCTCCCCCAGCTAGTGTAGATGTTGGTAAACATCGCCACAATAGCCCTGTTTCATCAGCATTGTAAATCTGTTCAGGTGTTAAATCATTATCAGCCACGATTTTCTCAAACTCGTCTTTGTATTTTTCTGCAGAGTTTGGGTTTGCTGAAAGGGTTTCTCCAGTTACATCAAGTCTTCGAATTCCATGCCGAAACTTAAAGTTTCTGAGCCAACCATCAGAATAATTACATTCACTTTCAGCAACTCCTAAATCTTGGCCGAATTTCTTTGCCTTTTCAACAATCATTGGCCCTGTTACCGGCTTTCCTTCAAAACGTACTGCACTAAAAACCATTTCAAACATACACTATCTAGCTGTTCCAGTTTGGTTTTTTTAATGTTTTGTCTAGAAGCCAATTTTCAGTTTGTTACCGATTGAGAAGCAAACTTCATTAGTTCATCTTTTTGTTTTTTAATGTCATAAATAATTGAGGAGCCAATATTAAACTCATTCATTAAAACATTTCTATTCTCGCCTTTTCTAGCCGTTTGATGATTTCTAGTTTCTGATTGAGAGTCAGTGTTACGTGTTTTTCGTTTCTCTCCTTTTAAACTCGAAGGCTTAGGTTTTAAAAACATGGTCACTGTACAGTTAGAACGAAAATCACTTTTTTTATAAACAGTTTCAAAAGTTACGTTTACTGCGATGTGAAAGGACACAAAACAAAAACGCACAAAAAATGGCGAAGACACTTCGTGATTGATTAACGGAGCTGCATTGCACCTGAATTGTGTGTGACAGCTGAGACTAGCCGGCCGCTAATTGTTTTCCGAACAATACCGAGCGCTTCCAGATGATCTCGAAACTACCCGAAACTTCCGAATAGCTCTCGAGCGGTTTTTTTTGCTTTAAAGACACACGTTTGGAGAAAACCAAAATTTTTACAATTTTCCGGAGCGATGCCGGACTATCGGGCATTCCGGACTGTTGGATGCCGGACTAATGGACTTCTACTGTATTTCCTAAGTTAAGGTCAGGGGTCTTCACCTGCTCTTTCTTTTTTTTTTTTTTATCTCCTTTGGACTCTTAGTATCCTTGACTTAAAAGCTATCACTGAAAATCCTTGCATGCTAACAAGTATAAACAAGGTAAAACCTAACAGAAATATTCTTAGTGCTACTTAAAACCAAATTAAAAAATAACATTGAAAAACGTAGCTGGCAATGCAAACCCAGCATTGAAGAACGTATGTGAAGAGTTACTGCTTTATTATACTAGCCGGTCGCCTTAAATACTTATTCTAAATGCACGTACACACACACATACACATATAAATATATTACTAGGCCCGTCAAGTACAGTTTTACGGATTCAGTAGTAATTAGCAAACACAAAGTTGAATAATACGTCACTGCTTTTAAATTCCCTAGTTTCTTAATAACATAGCATACAGATTAAATTTAAGAGAAATATTAATTATCTTATGCCTTATGCAAATGGCAAATCACTGGAGCGTGGAAGATGAAAATATTTTATTGCAGACAATAGCCATTCTTTTTCTTTAAAAGTGTGGAATATTTTATATCAAATTTGGAAGATAAATAATTGACATTTTTTCCAGTGGCAACACATTGCTTTTAAATGGTGAGTCTGTTAATCAAAAATCCGTTAAATTCGCCCAAAAGGGCAAATAAGTAAAAATTAAATTCAAAATTTGGTGGCTGTAGGCGCTATCGTTTTTGTACATTGCGAGGAACGTACATACATGTGAGATATGAAATATGAAAGACAATTACTAACTTAAATGGCAATATATCTTTTAATTTATGATTTTAATGTAAATAGTAAATCCAGCTTCAAAAATCCGTACTGTATCATTTTCGTCATTATTTTTATCTGCAATGCGTGGACGTGGAAGAATGGCCATTTTTTTAATTGAGGAAATTTTTTATCAAATTTCGAGGATAAATATTTTACATTTTGTCCAGTGGCAACACATTGCTTCTAAATGCAAAGTCTTTTAATCAAAAATCCCTTAACTTCGCCCAAATTTCGAAATAAGTAAAAATCTAATAATCAAATATTCTTTTCCCAAACGATCTTTGTGGAATGTGTTGCGCCAAAAATTGAATTGCAAATATTAATACAATAAAATGGTAATTTGAAAAATGAAGAATGCTGGAATAAATAACAATATTTGTACAGAAAATCTTCGAGAATAAAAACGGCGAACGATATATGCGGGATACGTTCGTTGCAGAAACAGTAATTTGTAGTTCTAAAGGATATAAAAAAAACTGGAGGTTTTATTCATGCCAAGCGAATGGTGTGTCATTCATCTTTGTTCATGAACACTGAGGTAAACAGAAGAAATATAAACACTGAGGTATAAACAGAAGAGCACCGTACCATTCCGTTTCATACGTATATGTGACCCCAATCGTAAAATACTTAAATTCCTCCGTTTTTCATCATGGAAGGACAGTTCTGGAAGCCTGCCATTTATTTTGATGTTTTCTCTTAACAAAAAATCCCATAATACGGCTCGTGTTTGAAAGCTGAAACAAATACTAAAGAAAAAGATGATCAGTTTCTGTATATTTATTTTTTGGTGATAACAACACGAATATGAAGTGAAAAAAAAAGAAGTCAGGACAGTCATAAAAAATTCCTTTCTCATAAAAATGTACTATACTTTCTCTCTAGTTCCGTTTGTTAGAAAAATACGTTCTTGTATTGAATAAAACTTCAAAAAATAAAAAAAAGAACTAGCATGAGCGTCCTTTTTTTCCCACTCAACTGTGGATAATGCAAAAATCAATAACAAAATAAAATTCTTCTCGTGCCTTCCCGTTGCTATATGCCTCAGGGTGTACAGTATCTTCGAAAGGGGGGCATAAAAAATCAGCTTATTTCGGATTTTAGGAGTTCGGCAGAAGACGTAGAAAAGCAAACCATGTTTCGGGAGATGTCCTGGTAGTAACTTCAAAATAAAAAGGTCCTAGAAGATAAAAAGTGTAAAAGAATTTCTCGTTCAGCGCTCTGTCGTTTTTACCTTGGAGGCAAGAATAAAATATCGCCAAGCATTTACAACTGATAACGTTCCGAAACTTAACGAGCGAGATTCGATATTTGGGTAATAATGCACCACGCGCATTTTACACCAAATATTATTTGAAATTAAGCAATATACAGGCCGTAAAAACAAGGCGTTTTTTTTTCTTCGCATAGCTTTTAACGTACTTGGATCAATAATATAGGCTTGTTTTTATGACTTCTCGTAAATGTCAAAATAAATTTCCAGGTTATCTAAACAGGGTTTTCATTTCTACTCCGATTCCTTAACTTAATTGCATTCTTCCGCCCCTTTATTTTTAGAATGTTTAAAAAAGCAATACTAAATTGAATTGTGTTGGCGAACTACACACGCTTGAAAAAACTTTTAGTATTTGGAACAACGGTATAAATAATAATAAATTCCATACGACGGGAAGAATGTCAGAAAAATTCCAAATTTATAAAAAGACCCCTATTCTTTACTAGATCAATATAAAGGACTGCGCATAATGTGATTTTTCAGAATAGATGTATAGTACGAGGCATTAGAAATATTCTTTATTAGTTACACTACATCTATAAACATTCAGAACATTATATGAAGTTATGAGTAGATTAGTTTTAAACAGCTAAGATTGTTGCACTAATGAGCAAGTAACGATAGCGATAATGTAGAGAAATGTAGAGAAAGACTAAGGTACAGATGTTTACTTTCAATATAGTCTTTTTAAGAAAGCATTGCTGCATGCTTGAGGGTTCGAATTAAATTGAATGCTCACAGGTCCAATGATAGGTTGATAATTTTTGTTTTATCAAAAGAAACACCTCGATGTTAGGGTACAAAAATTAGTTTTGTGGAAAGTTCTGGAACTTTCCACAAAAATACCCCTATAAATCTTCACATTATCACAGAGTAGTAGTAGTGTTACTACTTCAAACAACTAAGAGTGTAGAATGTAGAACTAAATCAGTAGTGACACTTCAAACCACTAAGAATATTAAATACAATACAATGCAAAACGCATCTAAAGAGCAAATCTTAACCGAAGATAGTACTCGGAACTCACACTGAGCTAACAGCTCATAACAACAACTGAGAGCAGATACTCTCTCTGGACTTGCATAGTTTTCACCCGGCTGCCGAGATACATCTAGTATTTTCTGCTTATTGAAATTACTGGAAGGCGACATGAGGGTCGAATTATGGTTACAGCTAACATAGTGACCAGTAACATTTATTCGATTACAATACCTATTACGATGATACAGGGACCCGACTAAAATATCGCCAAATAGTCACCAAGCCGATTTATCGGCAAATTTGGCGACAAAAATTAGTTTTCAAAAGCATTACCAGCTTAGCGATGTCTCGCCAAATCACCAATACTCATTTACTTAATGTTAAAAGGACTGTTGTAGTTGTTACTAATCCCCTTGCGGCAGGAAAGCCTACTAGGTCCAGGAGACCTTGCCGCACTAGTGGATCGCCGACATCGTCCTGCTCAGCCGACAGCTGTCTCAGTTATTATTGTTATTGTAGTTAGATGACTATACAATCCAGTAGGTAAGCGAGAGAGGGAGAGAGGGAACAGGCACACGAGGAGAGGTCTTCCCCCGCTGAATTTCATGCATCGAAGATACCCGCTTCTGAATCTGGCCATGGCCGTTTGGGAAGATCTAGTTCTTTTACTCTGCAGTGACAGGCTTGGTTGCTCAGCGATATACCAATGGTGAGCAGGGGAAATATTTCACGCCAAGTTCGTTTTATTTTTGTGGTGGAAATGTATTTCAGATGGGCTTAAACCAATGAAAGGGGGAGTAGGGAGATCACAATCTTTCCTTGCAAGACCGTCAGCTATTTCATTACCATACACCTAAACATGGGACGGTATCCACTGGAAATATATTGTTTCACGCTGTCCAAGCTCAAAAGGTTTAGATATGATATTCTGACTGGTCTTATCCATAATCTTAGACACGTTTTTAAGGTACTGAATAGAGCTTCTACTCTCTGTCAGAATCCATATAATGTCGCTAGTCGGACAGAGAGCATAATCAAGTGCTTTGCTTATGGCAATATGTTCCGATCTGAAGACCGAGCAATGATCAGAGTTTCTGATGCTACATCTGATATCTCCTTCAAGGTGTTACTATAAACACCACTCCCTGCTCTACCTTTATCTGATCTACTTCCTTCTGTATATACCATAAAGGATTGAACAGGAATATCACTTATGATTTCAAGAGCCACTTGCTTGCGGAATTCTGGGTGATGGTGTTGCCCTTGACAATAACAT